GAGGGGGTGTTACAAAAAAAAAAAAAAAAAGAAAGAAAAAAGGCATCATTGCAAGTCATTCATTTTATCTATTTTATTCTCTTTGGACATAGTGTTGAATGCTTATTACTGCGAACGGATTATTCCGATTTATCCACCGACAGTCTGTCTGACAATCACAAAGAACTGTTTCCTGTCAAGAGAATATAAATTATTTTATTCTGATAAAAGTTGCAAAAGAGTTTTTATATCTGGAAATGCCACTTGCAGATGCAGTGAAAATAAGGGGCTAATTAAAAATCTTTTCCACAGTATAAACACGGTGATTCACGTCAGCCCTGAGTGACCAAGGGACTGACCCTGACGCCAGATCTTCCACTCTTCTCTACTTTCAAGGCTACGAGACGTTCATGCAAAAATGTCTTTAAAGCTTCTATTTTATGCAAAACTACAGTTTAATTACACTTATCCCATTGCTGAGTCAGTCGAAGTACAAAGTGGATCAAGATACATGAATGCTGCATTACATTAGGATACAGTGTACATCAAAGATGAAAGCGGGACTAAGCCTGTGAGAAATGACAAGACGGGGATTCTGGTATTACTCCCCTCTGTCTGAGCTGCTGGTAGCTGTATTAGCTATTCTGTGTGTAGGGCTCATCCCCTCAGAGCCTGAACGGTGTCAAGAACTGAGACTTGGGGAGGAATAGTTTATGAATGTAGAACACTGAGAAATGATGTAAGCCCACGTTTCATTGTGGATCAAAGACCAGGTAATAGTCATGCTGAGAAAAAAATGCATTATTGACTGAGTGTACTAGACGCAGTACAAATATCCACCTTGTGAACAAGGAAAACGTGATTAAGTCTGGTTGATAATAAGGTCGGTGATTTGAAACGATAAAGAAGTGCATGACCTTACTAAGTTACTTCGTGAAGTTCAGGACTGTAAAGACAGCACACGGTATTTTAAATTAAAGAAATACTTTTATATTTTGGAAATAAGCAGATTTGATTTATTAAGAATATATATATCAGCTTCATACTGAAAATACACAGAAAGGTTACAGAGAGAAGGTAGTTAGGTTGGCTTATTAGGCACGTTTGAAGCGCAAGGAAATAGCAAGCCATTGTAAAATAATACATAGGCCACGACATTGAATACTACTGATCATCTGGTTGCAACACAATGTTATGTTGGGACACACTGGCTTATGGCATTTCTGTTTCTGACCACCCACCAAAAGGTTGTTGCTGTGGGCTCCCACAGTAGAAGCACTCTCATCAACGCATTGCCAACTTCCCATTCCAATCAAGTATCCGTGGGATGTGCTGGTAAAAGATTAATCCATCGAGGCTTCACTTGTATCCCACAGGACCCGAAGGATCCACTGCCAATGTCCTGGTGCCAGACTTCCCCAGAGCTCCTGTACTCATATCCCACCCGGCCAGCGCTGTTATGGGTGAAAGGGAAATACACAGTTTTACCAGATGGTTTTAATGGTTTAATTGGTTTACAGGAATTTTTTTTTAAAAACACACATTTACTATATATATATATATATATAAGTTCCATGCAGTGACTTTTGTAGAGAGCTAATGAGAGAAGACATCCCCTGACTACACACATTTAACGCACTAATGATGAGACAAAACGTCCAGATTTATGATTATGTGAGAAATGACTTCTAGTCTTTTATATGTCCTGACAGTTTTGAGTATTTTCTGCACTCCTTCCTGGCCTGGCTGAAAAAGGTTATTACCTCCATGCTTACCATCAAATATTTACCATTAGATGACAATGAGCAATGGTGGAGGACTTTTCAAGAACTGTTCCCTTAGTAAAAGTAGCAACACTACACTACGAAAACACATGACTCCTGTGTATTACTAGCAAACTTTAAATATCAAATGTAAAGGTTCTCATTCTCCAGAAAATGATTCCCCATCAGTGTTATTTGGGTTATTATTATGGCTATAGATGGTTACGTTTGAGCTAATTTTTAATACATTGCTTTGTGTACACTTTAATCTAAGGTAATAAATCGTAATGTAAAGCACTGTCATAAGTTAGTAGCAGGGGTGTTCTGTAAGCTCAGAAAAACAATCCTACACCTTAATTAAAATTAAAATGTATTCATATAATATAAAAAAAACATCACAGCTGAATTAGCAGTCTTGAGCAATGTGTAACAGACTTAACAGTCAGTATACTGTATACAGGGAAATAAAAATACTAGTTCAAATTGGTCCATCTGGTCCACCAAGCTGATTTCTGCACCTGTTAGAGTTGATAGGCTAGGTAATGATGTTACTTCTTTACAGTCTGAGTTTTGTTGCTATCATGTTTAAAAGTCTCTCTTTCTAATAATAGGTAATTATAGCAGAACATATCTTTAAAGATAAGAAATCACATTAGAGTAATTTGATTGTTCACTTGCTAACGTTTACTCTGCTTTCACACGTCAGGAATTACAGATCAGAACTAAAGCAGAGTCAGGAGTAGCAAGCAAGCTAGTCACCCTTCAGCCTCGAGCCAGACAGCTCAGGTTTATCCACAATGTGTATGTACAAAGAGCAAAAAAAGCCTCTGTTAATGGGATATAAACATACCCATGAAAATGACAAAGTATGAAAACCAATAGCTCCGAGTCAACCGAGCTTCCACATACAGCTTTAATTTAGAAGATAGATGTGAAGAGGCAACATGAGATCATTTGTGGGACACAACACTGTCTGAGACGCAAGTCTGAAGGTTTGTTTCATTTTTTTACAAACTTGAAAAAGCAACAAGTTGTCATTTTACCTAAAGATGATTATAATAAGTGATCGACACATATACTGGATTAAACATAATAAGCAAGAAAATAAAAAACAAACAACAAAAGACAGAAAACGTCTGAAATAACTAGTGTTTGAGTACAAAGATGAATGCTAAAACAAATGGCTGTAATCTGTGGGCCTTCACACAGCTCTGAATTTAAAACCAGATAAGCTAGCTTACTGGTATTAGATCTCAAATTTGCTTATGTTTCAAAGAACAATATGGTTCCTCACTTTTGCCGTGTTACCTTTACAGACAATTTTTACCATAACCCAACTTTTCTCTGGAAACAGGGCTGTAGTTCATCAAAACAAATAGTGCACTTCCCTTTTTTGTGATTAGAAACAGACAAATAAGTTTGGAACTGACAAAAGATGCCACTATTCAAGGCAAAACTGAGCACTTTTAACACCAGGGTTTATTATAGACATTAATGAATATTCAAATTAACCTACCCAATTAAATTAAAACAGAGCAACACTGTGTTTTGCTACTCTGAGCTGAACCCAGAGATCTATAAAAAAATGAATGAGAGCAAACTCTTTGATCAGCAGACGGCTCATCTTTTCACTTCACCTCTTAATAGTTGAATATTTAGTGAAAACGAAACAAATCTTTTAATTTATGCTAATGCTTTAAATGTTTTAATAGAGAATGGGTCTGTGTAAAATCTGATTTCAATTTCAACAGCCAACCATTAGATAAAGGAATGAATACATGGTGCCACATACATTCCACCGACATCACTACCACGCTATGATCTTATAGATGGGCTGGTGTGTGTGTGTATTTTTAAGATCAGAGACAAAGAACGACAGCTGAAGTTTGTCTTTATCGCCTTGAATGTAACTCCTGAATCTGACTCAGTTTGCTGAAAACCGTCTCTATTTGTCCACGTCATCTCGGCACTGTTGTCCCAGCTGTAACACTGACTCCTGTTTAAATTTTCAGCTTCTTAGATTTCCATTGGGTCCTTGAGGCTTCTACGTCTTTATTGCCCTAATATTTCCTTTTCTAAACGTCTTTTGTTTTGCGGATACAATTGTCGATTACCTTCCCCCTGGCTGGTGCCCAGGGATCTCTGCCAGTCATTCTTTACACAGCCTACCATCTCTTGTACATGACCTGATTTCTCTTCTAGGGCCAGTTGTTTCTCTGAAGTTTTACTCATGTTTCATCATCTTTTGCAAAAATGGTTAGCAAAGCATTGCTCGATACAATCCCCGTGGAAAAAGCCTGACAGAACACCTCATGTTTTGGGGGGTTTTGGAGTTTGTTTAACTTGCACAGACTTGACATGACTTGACAACTCTGTGTATTTCTGTTCATACTGTGATATCTGTTTACATCACTTGATAGGAAAAAAGGGATAGACCAGTAATAACATCCGTAACGTAAGTCCGTAGTATCTCAACTTAACGTAGGTAACGTAAGTTGAGATACTAGCTACATAAAAACCCAATACCACAGAAGACATATCACTACTGGCCACATCAATCCATGAAAAGAATCCATTCAGTCAGGGTATATTAAGTGATTGATACAGTACATAAGGATTTATTAGCATGGCAATCATTTTGATAGTCCTGTTGTTAATTAAAGAGGCAACACTGTAAAAGAAAGTATATGGTGTCCATAGATGGTTTAGTAAACACTAGGAAGTGACTCGGATTATTAAACTTACTTCTTAAACTGTGAATTTAAGCAAAGTAGCTCATAAAATGGATTTGCTTATTATCTGTTTATTGTAAGCAATTAATGAGACTGACACTGTTTTCATGGATTAGCCTGTGATAAACTCAGAGGAGAGACTACCACAAACAACAGAGACAGCGTTAGAGTGGGCATCCTTCATTTTTTATCATGGTACTGCTTTTTTGGAATATTCTTTAAATACATGTCTTTTTGTGAGCTAAGCAACTCACAAAAATACACCACAGGCATGCACACTCAAATGTTTTTGTGTCTATGCTTTAATGTAACTGCGTGCATTCAATCCAATCCAATGAAAACGTGTTCAAATCTTGCAGATATTTTATTGAATTTCGTCCGATGTGTACTAGAAGTTAGTAACCTCCATAAAATTGAAGGACTCCAATTCACTGATTGCAAGTACATGAAGAAAGGATAAAAACTGAAAGCACCAAGGCAAGAATACCGCAA